AGAATCGTGAGCGTCCCGTCAGGCTGGCCAGTCATGATAATCATAGGGGCAAGGATTTGAGATTGGAACATCTCGCATGCTACCATCACAGTGCACCCGTTTTTGGCATCTTTGGCTCGGTTGGAGCCGACTCGTCGTACATTCGTTGGAGCAATCAAACGGGTTTCTTTCGGGTAGAACTGACGAAACATTTCGTCAACATTGACCAAACGGGTCACACCAGCAGATCGCATGATGCTACAAATCAAGACACAGACATCCAAACAAATTTTGTAACCAATTGTCAGGAACTGTCTGGGAGATCGATTCCTTCCGAATTGAAAACCGATGTCTTTCAAGAACTCTGGTGACCCATTGCGAAAGGCTTGGAGATATACGCCCCGAATGGATCTTCATCTTCACCTCCCATTCAGTGCGTTCCGCTTCCTGTTCATGGCCAAAGGTAGAGATCAGCAGATCGTAGGCTGCCGACTTGCTCAATGGGTTGCCTGTTCCCATTTCATCACCACATTCGTGATAAGGAATTCTTTTTGCTGGGCGTATTCACTTTTCTTCCAGAACCGACAGTCTTGGTTGTTTGGAGAAGATATGTGATTTTGTCAGATTTCCCCGCCTCTTTCCGATTCTGTTGACGAGTACCTGCAGACAAGGCCGAGACGTCAGTCTCTGCTGTCGTAGACAAAGCTCTGTCCAGGGTTTATTGGACCTGTTAAGATTGTGATTAAGCGAGGCCTTGCGTTTATGCTGAGCCTTCCGAGAAGGATGCACACCCACCCGGTGTTTTATCTGGGCTTTGTTAAGCCGTACCGGCATCCGGCGCAAATGGACGCGGAAGCGTTGGCGCCGGGGCGGCACCCCGAAGTGCTCGGCCGTCCAGAAGCTGAACCAGCAACTGGCTCGGAGCACGAATTACGACGATCATCGTTTCTAACGGCGCCAAGCGCTCCATCGGCGCGCAAAGTGACACATTCGACGACAAGGAGCCGTTCCGACAGAGCACGATAGTTCTCAACGTGAGGCATTCGCTGCACAAAGTGCTCCAAGCCCTCGAATTCTTCCGCACAGCGGTAGGTGACCTCGGAAAGATGTGCTGATGACGACGGACTTTGTTCAAAGCTCAAAGAGCATAGCGAGTCACCGTACGGCGGTCGACCAGGTCGTCATCGTCCGCTGCCGACTCTTCTCGATGAGAATGGTGACATCCACTGTCACGTAGAACGCCTTGTGGGACGACGTCGTCGACAGGGTCAAACCCAATATCTTGTGAGGTTCCGTGTGGCTCCACTGTAAGCTAGACAACGAGGAAAGTTTGCAGTGCCGCTGCACCCATTGCTCAAAGAGCTCTTTATCATCTGCAGCGGTTTTGCCAGGGGCGAGCACACCAGGAATCTATCGCATAGCGGGTACAGGAGCGCTTCTTCTTTAAGCGAAGTCGAGCGCGGTACCTCTTCATTGAAATTGCTTGAGGTACAAAGAAGCGAGCTCGCAGACCTTTTCGTTGGTCAAGCTCAGCTTGTGTAGTGGCTGGGGGCTCGACTACGTTGACGCCTAACGATCGAGTGATCGCGTCTTTCGCTTCAGTAGCGGGACCCGCCGGGCGCCGTGTTCAACACGAGGATCAGAGACCGAACGTGGATACGAGCGCATGAAAGCCGCCTTCTGGGCAGCGTCCAAATGCTGCTTCTGTGCCTCGTCGAGGCGATTGGTAATAATATCACATTTCCCAAAGTCGAGAGGCCGGAAAACGAGCACGGTTCCTGCAATATTCGAGCAGGGTTCACGTCGCGCCGTTGGCGCACCTCGACCCCCCCTTCTTTTCATCCTGGGAAAGGAGTATCCGACTTGCAGTCGACTTCCTCTGAAACCTCGACGAGGAAATCCGTCGCCCATGGTGGGCGTGGTGTGCCGCGCCCGGCTGCCGAGGTTTTCGGGTGTGCTTCCCGTGGAGCCGCGGACGCACCGTCCGGAGTTGCACCGCGTGAAGGGGACGAAAAAGGGCTCTGCCTGCGATCGCCCTCGAAACCAAGATGCGTAACCTAGAGCTTTTCAAAAATTTGCTGATAATACTTTGCAGTTTTCAGATACGATTTGCAGTCTGTCAGAGTAAAATGGTCTTAATTTATAGCGTGCGGCTAGCAGTTCACGTGTACCCCCCTCCATTTTACATTTTTGCATTCGACAAGAATGGGATAGATGTAAGTTGGAACCTGCTGTGTCAGAATCGGTTACGAGGAAAAGTGACTATGTATCGCTTTCTTTTGTGCCATAGCCGGTGAAGTTGAGAGTCTAAATGTCGCCATCAAAGGGTTATGATGTATTACAGTTAATAATTTTTTTTCTTCTCACGATTTAACGGTCATGCTGAGTCAGCGCTACCCTGTGCGTGGCCTTATGTCCGAATCAGTGAGCATTCAAGGGTAAGCATTATCAAAAATGCATTCTGGTGAACATGGCGACCGGGGTAACCCTATAGGGGTGTGAGGCTACATTGTAACCTCCGGCAACTGCTATCATTCGGCCTCAAAAATTACTCAAGGGGATGTTTGCAAAGACCTCAAAGAGGGTGAAATTGTTCAAAACGGTACGAGTGCTACCGGAAGAGAAGCTAATATTATCATTTGTTTTGGACGATCTCGACATTGAAGACGCACCTAGATCACTAATTGGGTTTAGTATGGCAGCAGTTCTTGAGTATCTATTTGGTTCAATGATCTTGTATTGGATATATCACGACGTGATGGCAACATACCCAGCGCACGAGTTGCCACCAAACTGGGGCGTGCACCATGCATTTGTCTTAGATTGCAGGGTACAAAAGCTGCGTCACCTGACAATACCCCATACCAAGAGAATAGTGTAATGTCATTGACACTCCCTTCTCGGTACAAGACATATCAAAATTCTTGAAAACAAGTAAATATCTTCACTTAGCGCCAAATCCCTATGTTAGACCGACTAATGGCAACTGGCGAATGGTGTTGGCATGTAATACGCAAAATAAAGCTTCTGTTTCTGCACAAACACTAATTTTTAAACGGGATGTGCGGCAGAGCAGCACGGTCGGTGCTTTTGATTAGGTTGGCGAATATTATCAACTGCACACGAGATACAGCAAACATCTCTCTCAGTGCGGCAAACACTTCAAGCATGATACTCCAGGAGTGGATAGTTATGCCATTAGAGCTAAATTACAATCGAGACTCATAACTGTTCAGGTGATGAAGCTATTCCAGCCACATGGTGGTTGAGTACAGAACTCTTCTGACGGGTTCGTCGTCCATTGTCGTACAGAGCACGGTGAGTCGAATTGAGACAGCCACATCAAACATTTGCGAGCATTGCACGTGTGTATGGGATTGAATAAGCTGTTCTCCAATTTAGACAAATGCGTCTTTGGTGGCAACGAGGTAATATTTCATGGATGTTTGTTAGTAGGAATGGCATGCATTAAGATCCCGCCGAGATGATTTACATTGTTGATTTTTTAATGCCTCTGTCCCAGAAAAGCTTAGTAATTGGCTTGGTCCGGTCAACTACTTGTGCAAGTATTGAGCAAATCATGCTGACATGACACAAGCTCACATTGCTCGTTAAAAATTTGATGCGAAACGGTGCTTGAGCATAGCAGAGAATGCAGTTTGAATGTTCACACCTGCCCCGTTTCGATACTCCTGAATCCAGATCGGCGACTTATGCTGTCAGTGACGCTTTATAATTTTTAGTCTTCTGTGTTTTACTCCAAAACGATGACAATATCTAAAGATACATCATCGCGTTTGAGTCTCGCCAATGCAATGCTGCTGAATAGAACTCCGCTGCCCACGACAAAATGCTACCTGCAATGGAGTGAGCCCTTGTCAGCATTAGGGTGCACCTGCATGGCTTTAAACGCTTAATGGATCGGTTCAAATAATTGTTTTTCGTACGGCGACGCTGTCATCATATTGTTGACGAAGTGCAGAGTCTTTTTCTCGAGTATATTTCCAGATAAGGTATGATTGAGTCGGCTTGATGTGGCGGTGGATGATGGAGCCAAGATGAGCTGAGTTGTAAAATCGGTGCTGTTCTCCATCATCGCATCAAAGGCAGCCTCTACTGCCATGTATACACCTTGTTCATGGGCAAAATAAGATTAAATTCGTTGTTTCCTATCACTATCAATGTCCTTGCCGTCTAATATCCTGAGCGAACTAAGTTTGATTGTCACACCAACGGATACATCACGTACAACCATCAAAAAGTCCAGACCTATTTCGAAAAAAGCGAAGTTTATTCGTATCTCGTAGTGATTGAAGTCATTACAATTTAGCCATCTCAGGAACGAACTCAAAGAGACGTAGTCTTTTTCTCAACAACATCGACGTCCCGGAATCTGTAGAGCCGCAGTGCGAATTCTTGTGACGCGCGAATGCTGGGAATAAATGACAGTTCGCGGAGGTATTGAAGATGTTGAGTGCAAGTATCTTGTCCGTGGACGTCATGATTCGCTGATTAGTTCTTCATAAGAGACAATATTCTTCGTATGGCCTGGCCGGATCGTCATGAAAAATGGTTCAGCTGAAAATGAAATCTATTACACACCACGTACTTCTTTTCTATATAAGAACTTCAGAGGTCAAGAATCACCTCTGTTATGGATTCTTATATCAACGTTTAGGACTTTGATAGTGCAACATATTGTCAGTCTAGACCTGAATTTGGGATACGATTTGGCCTGGTCTAAACACTATTAGCCATAAATCGAACGAGAATCAAAAGGATTGGGTGCCGTGCAGCTCTTTCTGGATGAAAATAAAAAAGATACGGAATCGCCGCAGTAAGAAGGATGAATCACCCTTGGCGCGGGTACGAGGCTGTGATGGCTTCAGCGCAGCATGTTGGGTAATCAAAATGAAGTTAATTGATATTGCTAAGGTGAGTGAGCAAAGCCTGGAGGTTGAAGCGACCGTGGGTCACGTTCCCAGAGTGTACTCTTGATGAGAAGGACAAGTAAAGCTACATTAATTGAGGGACTGCAGTAGTAATCTCTCGTGAGACAGGTATAAGGTATAGGGTGTCAAAATCTCCAAGTTTGGTCCCGTCAAGATGAATCAGAGAAGCTTGGCGCCGCAGTCTGCTAGAAAAGATTCGATAAGAACAGGCGATAGTGAGTTGTTGGCGAAGAGGCTGCTTTATGAGTTAATAAGTGATGTACAACTTTGTCACATTGCGACAGTACTGCTGGGTCAGCTTTATCGTGTGTCGCTTCCACCGTGTGGAGCAGTATTCGGATAACAGGAAAGTTCATATACTTTAAAATGGAGTGATTGGGTAGCCATAGGGTTCGCATCCTCTTTCATCATTTCAAGCAAAGATTGCGCTGAGACTGCAAGATTATCTCTAGGGGATGAATGCAAGTACTGTAAGACGGTGATACCACCGAACCTGCAAAGTTTAAGCCAGGGAAAATCTGAGCATATCCGTCATGGATGACTCCGTTATCGAAGACAGTCCCGGTGCACTGAGTGCGAGTGGTGGAATATATCTCATCGAAGGGCTTACAATAATTAACTTATGTTGTTCAGATATCGGTCTGGTAAAACTTGATCTCACACGCGATGCCAACGTTTTACGCCAGGATGGTTGGTGGCGTGTGGTGAACTATACATGCTTACAATACTTTAATGTAGTCACCATTTCGGTGCAAACACCGAGGACGTACAGCAGGCATAACTTATGTAACGTTTATTATCTGTCCTATGTGTAGTGTATTTGCACATCATTATAGGGAGACTGTCTCATAAATGCGTTATCTTGATTAAGTTTATTCAAGTGCTAATCATAATTATGTAATGTTTGCAAACGCTATATAACAGGATTTGTAATGCTTGTGGTACACTTAATTGTTAGCGATAAGTCTAGATAATTAATGATCCATCCCACGGTCGCCAACTACGAAAATATGCTACGACGACGCAAACGCAAGCAAGCACCTGTCGAAAACGACGATGGTGAATGGAGCACTTCTGTCGATCTTATCGATGATACCATGGCATCTATACAGCTGTGTCTAAATCGAAACAATGACGCATTCGTAGCGCTAGGTTTGCCCCCAATTGTTCTCTGGCACCAATTGTAAGTGAGTAAACTTTATATATAATTATATTAAATTCTTAATTTTGTTTCATGTTTGCAGATATACTATTTTACCAAATCGCACATTTATCGATCAGAATGTCAGAACTCTTCATTTTGCTGTTCCTAACTGATTGAATCATCGATTGCTAGTAAATCATTTTCAGGTACATCGGCTACAAAGCAATGGCAAGTTAATAACGCTCAAAATTTCATCAGGGTCAAGGGATTTGGCAATTTTACGCACAGAAGATTACATTGCTGAGGTGAAACAGTATGAAAACGTATTTTGCGAGCAATTACGTCAGCATCAGGCGAGTTTAGCTGTATCTACGAAACTAGATGCGATGGCTGCGTATGGACGGATACTTCCGTTCATTTCTTCGTATACAACTGTGCCATTAAATGCGCTGATTTCGATATTTGAAAAGAACTGGGGCAACTTATGTGAGTCAGAAGCTCGAGCTATGGTGAGGTATGCGCTGCAAGGCAATTAAGCACTTGATGTGGTCAGTATTTGGCTTATATATAGAGAATGTATAGGCTTATTCAGCGGCTTGGATTCTTGCTACCGACAACTCGATTGGATGACGAGGCCTATTCCTTTTCGGTTCCTGGAATTGGTAAACTTGTATCATCAATCACGAAAACTCGAACATCGATAATAAATATACTTAAGCGCACAAAGTACAAGGAAATGCACGAACAGCAACTAAAGAAGAAAAAGTTGAAGCACTCGCACTTTCAACTCGAGTTTCATCTCGCCGATATGGAAGGCTGTGGGTTGGTGAAGCGCACAGAAGTTACGTCTGGTATACTTGTCGCTCTAGCTGATAACTGTAGATGATATCCACCATTTTTCTCCAACACATGTCAACAACAAGATCAGACGTCGTTAGTCAGGATAAGGATAGACACACTGGGCATTCCCAACTATCATTTTGACAGGTGAACTTTTGTGCCGCTTAATTGTTTTTAAACTTCTTGACAGCCACAGAAGCCTGAAACATTCATAAATTTGTATAAATTCTCATTGTTCTGAGAAATAAAGGATATTATAGCTTATCATTTTGCTCTCTCCGCAATAGCTAACTTATCTCAGCCGCCGACCTTGACCTTGAAACGGAACGACACCCTTTTGTTTTTCTTCGCTCTCATTCACCTCGTTGCCCATCTTAACTTCATCAGCAAGATCTACCGCTTCGCCATTAAGACGATTGCCCATCAAATGCTTGGCTTTATGCGCTGAAGTTGATTCACCATTGCTTTTGCTAAGGCCATTGCCATCGTTTAATGAACCACCAAGACGAGAATCATTTGTCGCACTACTGGCTGGGAGCGTGTTACCACTAAGCGAGTACCCAGTACCATGAAACGCCTCATATTTGCGTAATCGAGCAGCGCGTAGTGCAGCTGCATCTGTGGAGCCTTCATCGTTTCTTTTCTTTAGTCGCAATCCGCCATTGAAAGCAGCGATGCGAGCTGGTTTAATGTCTTCTGCTTTCATTGTTGGCATACCTAATTATACAGGGCCAAAACATGGTGAGCACATGGTTTGTGGGACAATAAGTAACGTTTATGGAAGCGTGTTCACCTCCATAGGGAATATCTGACGGCGTAGTTGGAAATGCTGCTGCTGCTGACGGGGGTATTGGAGGGACATAGTCAGCTGGAGGCTCAAAATCCACCTCACAGTCCGTCTCAATGATGCAAGCAGCAGGTGCAGGCTTGACCTCACGGACATCCAACATATAATTTTTGTTGTTGTATTGAAGGCAAATCGTGTCGCCTATTGTCATGCATGAAAACTTTCGGAGAGATCCTTCTAAGCTACAAGAACCAACTTAGTACTTTAAAAATCAACCGCAAGTGATTTAATATGATAACAATGCTGTCGTACACTGCACGAGGGTTTGAAATATCCAAAAAAGCCTGCGACTGGGGCCGCAACTTCACAAATGTCGCCTTCGGAAGCGATACATTTTGTATATTGAGAATCCCACCCTCTTTCACAAAAAGATTTTGCATCATCTGTCACCATAAAATCGCAGTATGAAAAGTTTATTCGAATGGAACAAGAATCGCAAATATATCACTAGAATCTCACCCAGTATGGCATGTAGCAACTTCCTTCAGGTGCACTAAACTCCAACACACCACAGTGCGATGAACGATCGACACCTTCGTTCGTTACTTTAAATAACATTGGATATTCAATATGTAGACGAGCTAAACATGAAAGAATTGAGTTAATTCACGCTATGATTATGAGCCAACCTACGTACCCAACATTTCAAGAGCAGATGGAGGTAGCAAAACTATGTAAAATAAACAAACAAATATTGTAAGATGCTTGAATACTCTTAAGTTCTCTACTCACTCTTATCGCCATCTTCTAGATGCGCTTTGTCACAAAATGACACTGGATATACACGATAATGCTCATCAAATCTGCAAATTTGATAATTGTAAGCTATTCACAAACACTTTGAAGGAATTCCATTCGACGACGGACCGCTGTGGGAAGTCGTTAAAGTTGAATTGCACACCGAATGGGTTTCCATCTCCACCAAATCCGCCAAACTGTGTTCAATGAATTATGCACAAAGTAAATAATGTGATAACAATTATTACTATTGGTATAATGAGTAGACTAACATACCATAGTTGAAATGCTCCGATCTACGTGTTGTTCTTCGCAAATGACCGAAGGGGGAAACTAAGCACACTTTAGTGTATCTGACATTAATCTGCTGCAAGCGAAATATACGTGGTGCACATCGATAACAGAACTAAAATAATTACAAAAACGCACATAGCATATCATTCGAAGTACACGACTTCACTAACGTAAA